ACAAATGATGCACACACACACACACAAAAAAAACAAAAAAAAAAAACAGTAGAGAACATTTATATAAGACAAATTTATGAATATCTGATTATCTGTAAACACAACAACCAAAATACCAGAACTATGAAGCAACATATTGCAAAGGGGAGAAAAAAGAGGCAGAAAATATTTCAACATCTTCTCTGATAAATTTTTCTTTATTTTTACAAATAAAAACAGACACACCCTCCCCCCCCCAAAAGATTAATAAACAACTGAAATGGAAACCAAAATCAATTCTGATACAAAGAAGAGGAGTGATCCAGACACTAGGCATTTCTTTTAATGAAGAATAGTGTAAAGATAGTTGAGATATTGTCAACAGGTTGCACCTCGAGCAAGCATTCAATGTGTTTTATACTAAAAGCAACAACATCTACAACTCTTCAACCCAGTAAAAGTAAATAAAACAAGTTGATTTCTGTAATTTGAAGATAAGTCATTTTAAGACTTTCTTGGATTATTTCTGTCATTTTTTTTGCTGTTAGTACATTTCAGCCAATCCATTCTTCAGTGTTCTTCAGGTGTATAATCTATATAGAAAGGTAGGTGGTCTCTTTTTTTTTCTAATTAGTGGCCACCAAGACTAAGGCAGAAGAAAAATGACCCTCCCCATCCACCACATGCACACACTCTCAGTAAAGATTTTATATCTGAGGAAAGCTGAATAATCGATCAGCTGAAATATTATGGTAATAAAAAACAAAAACAATTATCAAAATAGCAACAATAAAAAGATCAATAATTCCCAAACCTCTTGGAATGAAAGTTTGCAGTCCAATGCAAAAAAATCTATGAAGCACTCTTATAGGAATATATTATAGGAGTATTGAAGACTTTGGTCCAAGATGAGATTAAAATAAATCTGATGTCGATTTCAAAAAGTAGCTTACGCTGAGAACTTTTCAGCATCTCCTTTAAGTGTTTTAAATACTGATATTTTTTCCTAAATATTAGCAAAGTTATTTCTTTCATAAATTATATTATGAGACAAAGTTTAACTTAAAATAAATGTGTCTAAGATTTTACCTATTAATTTTGTGTATAGTCAGTATCTTTGTTTAGAAAAAAAATTGATGGCTTCTGATATGCAAAATCTGAGGAATTATCATACACCAATTTCTTTGAAGGGGTGTCCGCATTTTGGTTGTCATAACATTTTGGCCATTGCACTTCTTCAGGTATTTGTTGTATTTAGTAAAGTGTTGGGAATTTTCAACTGAACTCTTTAATTCAATCCATTGAGGTAAACGGTTCTAAATCTGCTGTCTATGATCAGGAATACTGGTTAATATTTATCCTTGTGATGCAAGTGAACCAGAGTGTGTGCCTGACTCAGGGATTGGTCTCATGACCACTAGGTATACATATACTTAGCCACTAGTGCTTAAATTCTATATGAGGCCTAGTGAGCAGATTCTTTAAATGTTATTTTCTAATGTTTTTTATTATTGTAATTTCATTCCACAGGGTACAGGGCGTGACGGATAAACTGTCGTCTAAATTATGCAAAAATGAAAATAACACTGACATCTCATTTTAACAGATATATTTACCAAAATTATACAAAAATATCTTGAAATACTAAAGAGTAAATTTATTTAATAAAATCACCATTGGCTTCAACGAAGACCGCCAGATGACTTTGAAATCTCCTGCAGCTCTTCTAGACATTCTCTTTGCTTGAGTTGGTGAATGCTGCCATAAACCTTGCCTTCAGTTTGTCTTTAGTGTTACAAGGAGTTTTGTTGGTCTCTAGCTCAACTGCACCCAACAAATAATAATCAAGGGGGTTGCAGTCTAGGGAGTTAGGTGGCCAGATGGAAGGGGTAATGTGGTTGCAGAAATTGTCTGACAGCCATCACTGGGTTCCCCTGCTTGTGTGGCATGATGCAGAGCTCTGTTGCCAGACATAGGGTCTTCCAGCAACCACCTTCTTGACTCAGGGTAGCATTACCTCCTCAACGCACTAGATGTAGGCTTCCATGTTGAGTCTGAGACCCTCACCAATAAATTTGGGATTTTCTTTTCTTATCAGAATGATCAAAGTTTTCCAAGCTGCTATACCTTCATAATTGCCATTAGACTCATCCAATTCTTTCCAAATCCTCCAAAATGTTTGTACTGGAGCTTCTGACATGAATGCCAAGCAGTACAACATGTTTTTTCCAAATTTCTGGCAGAGTGAATTGAGTCATGGTGCTCTTCTCACAGAGTGCCCAACTGACCCTACTATACTGTACAGCCAATAAAATAAAAAACAAACAACATGCATGTGTGAAATTAAAAATATAAAATTGCAACAATTTACACATTGCACACTGTATATGGTGTGGTGATCACCTACCTTACTTTCCAGAAAAGTTGTGATTATAACAACCAAGATGAGGACACCAGTTCAATTAATCAGGACATAAGTATAAATACGAATTAAAGAGAGTATGAAAAGAAGCATTAAATATATCTGAAAGGTTTACTAAGAGAATTTAATAAAAATAATTTATTTGGGAACATGGTAATAAGGTATAACAAATTAGAATTAGTCTCGGCTATAATTTTAGGTCTGAATAAAAAAAATATGATAATAACTGATAAAAATACTAAAATAAAATCTCAAACAGGATTCTTATTCTATGTGCCATGTTCCTTCAGGACATAGGTGATCATAACTCTCCACAATTTCCTGTCCTTTGTAGCTGTTAATAAGTTTTGGCTTTTTGTAATCTCCCCCAAACTTTGCTTCACCATTCATTTACTGAAGCTCATTAGGTAGGTTATGTATTGTTCTGTGAGTATCAGATTTTCTAAGCCATCTTTCCTCATTATGTGCTTTATGAATTTCAACTGTCTTTTCCTGATGTTAAGTATAATTGTCCTTTTTATTTCTATGTTCTCTAAAACTTAATTGTTGCTCATGAGTTTGGTCAAGGATATTCTCAGCATCCTTCTGTAGAACAACATTTCTGATGCTTCAAGTCTCTTCTTCATCTGTAAGGAGATTGTCCAGCATTCACTGCCATATAGTGGGGACTGATATTACATAACAGCTCAGTACTGTTTTCTTTGGTTCTAACAAAATTTCTGTTTCTTAATATTTTATGTAACTTTTGGAAGGCATAGTTCACTATCCCAATGCTGCTTTCAGTGTTGCACTTTCCAGATATTTAAATTGTATTGGTTTGATTTCAGTATCTCCAATTTGAAATTAGCATGTTGGAATATTCCTTTTGCTAACAACCATGTATTCAGTCTTATTGCAATTGATGTTTAGTCCTTTCTTTTTACTTTCCTCCACCACCTTCTGTAGAATTCTTGTAGCTTCTTTTCTTTGTCTGCTATCAACACTGCTGTGTCATCTGGATATCTTATACTGTTAAGATTGTGATTGTCAATAATGAATCCTGGTAGGACTTCTAATTCTCTCAGAACTACTTCACTATATAGGTTGAAGAAGTTTGGTGAGAAGACACATCCTTGTCTTACAAACCTTTCTACTTTTACATATTTCAGAAGAACTTTTGATGAGCCAATAACCTGCTTTACTAGAGGTGATGTCTCAATAAATCACCAGGGAGAAGGCAACAGGAAACCACCATCAATCCCAAGAAAACTTATGGTTTTTAACAATAAAACTTGATTACCAATTAAAATAAAAGCTATAAATATCATTTTGGAACTTTAATAATATCAACAGATCACAATAAATAAATAAGAATGAAACAACAGGTAATCACACAGATAAATGTTACAGGAAAGTTTTACAATGAAAATGATTCTTAGAAATTCAATGAAAAACTAATAACAAGGCAATGGAGAAGTTACAAAAAATCTCAATGTAATTCTTACACTGTTTTAATTGTATTGTTTGAAGACTGGTCTCTCTAATGATGTTTTTGCTTTTGTTTATTTATAAAAAAAAACTAAAAATGCAAATGAAATAAAGAAGCTGATTGAAATGTTCATATAATTAGAAGTAAAGATGTTTTCCTTTATTCTGAAGATAGTGTAACATAAAATAAAGAGCAAGAAATTTCTGGCTTGAGGATTTATATAAAAAAATATAAAAAAAATACTGCTTTACACTAGTGTTTATCTTACTGAGAATATGTCATCCATGACTTAAAAGTTTAAATTCTTAAAAATGTAAATTGAAAATGGCTTGCTTTAAATGTGTAAATTTAAGGCAAACAAGAATCTGATGATCAATTTTGAAGTTTGAAATTGTTAATAATTTCATGGCTGTCCACTCTAAAGATGAAAATTAATTCTGCTTCTAAAGTGGCACATAGTCTGAAATTGTAAAGAATTAATGATTGTTAAGTCAGAAACATTACTGAAGTAAGAATTACAAGCAATGGTGCAAAAGTAGAATTTTTGAATGAATGAGAGCATTAATTCTAGGTTGATTAAGAAAAATTATTTTCTGACTAGAAAAGAAACACTGCAATCCAATTATTAAAGTAATACTTATAACAGAAGACATGGAAATCAATTTAGGTTTGGGTGGAGTAAGATCAGGGATATTTCTCCAGAACCAAAAGATATACACAAAACACCTTTGTCTCTTACAAATTGTGTACAAGCTGCTCCAGATAATCTAGAGGAAATGTCTGAGACATGTTCATCAAGAGATATCAACCAATTTTTTTCCCCTTTCACAACTGAAGATCAGTTGATTGATTGATCAATTGACTCATTTTTCATGGCTTATCAACCCTTTGCAAGTTATTTAAATCCATAAAATATTTTTAGATTGTAAGAATTTCTTTTGAGATAATAATGGTTTAGTGCTATTAGTCTTACTAATTACCCCATAGCCAAGAGGAGAAAAGGTGGATTCATATCTCTCTCAAGGGTATTTACATGTAAGTGAATATAACTAACCCAACAGAGATTGGAACTCAGCTCTCCAATTAACAATTTTGAGCCATTATCCATTACACCATCAGCATATCCAAGCTTATAGCACATGGTATTCCCAAGCAGTCACCCATCTAAGTACTAAACGGGCTTGACATTGCTTAACTTCAGTGATCGTATGAGGAACCAGTGTTTCAATATTACTGTCAGCCTTCTTTTATGTGCTGTGTCCCTTCAGGATGTAGGTGCTCATGACTCTCCACTTCCCCCTTCCCTCATAGTTCTCAATGTTTTCTGCTTTTGCTACTTCACCCAAACCCTGTAATGTCATCCACTTACTTAAGCCTGCTAGGTATGTCATGTGTTGCTTACCCTTGTATCTCTTTTTCCCTCTATCTGCCCTGTGAGTATCAGATTCTCCAAGCCAACCTTTCTCATTGTGTGTCCCAGAAATTTTAGCTGCCTCTTCCTGATGTTAAGTATAAGCTTCCTCCTTGTTTACATCCTTTCCAAAACCCCATCGTTGCTCACATGTTTGGTCCATGGTATCCTTCTATAGAACCATACCTCAGTTGCCTTGAGTCTCTTCTTCATCTTTGAGGAGACCGCCCAACATTTGCTGCCATAAAGGAGGACAGATATAATGTAGCAGTTCAGTACTCTTTTCTTTGTTACCAATGAAACCCTCCTGTCTTGTAATACTCTGCCTAGCTTTTGGAATGTGTCTTTGGCCATCCCAATATGTCTTCAGCATCGCACTTAATATCCTCTATCAGAACACTTCCCAGATATTTAAATTTCTGCCCCTGCTTGATTTTAGTGCCCCCAACCTGTAAATCACATTTTAGGCTCATCTTTTTACTGATGACCATGCATTCTGTATTCTTTTAGTTTATGCTTAGTCCCTTCTTCTCACTCTCCTTTGATACCTTCCGTACAAGTTTTTTTAATTTCCTTTCTGTGTCTGCAATCAGCATTGTGTCATCTGCATATCTTATGTTGGTAAGATTGTGGCTGCCAATGATGAATCCTGGTAGGATCTCCAGTTCTCTCAGAATTGCCTTGATGTATAGGTTAAATAAGTCAGGTAAGAAGACACATTGTTGCCTTATGCCCCTTTCTATTTCTGTATATCTGCTGAATTCATTCTCTATCCGCATGCAAGCTGTTTGCTGTCAGTATAGGTTCTTGATTATTCTAATGTCTTTCCCAAATATATCAAGGCTGCTGAGAAGTTCAAACAGATCTTTGTGGCATACTTTGTCAAATGCCTTTGTGTAGTCTATAAAACATAGGTGCACATCCTTCTGCATTTGTATTCCTCTTTCTGATAACATTCTGAGCATGAATATTGTGTTCCTTGTTCTGGTGTCTTTAACAAACCTGCACTTTTCTTGTTCTATTTCTGGCCTGATTCTGCTGCATGCTCTATTCATCAGAATATGGATGACAAATTTTGTTATATGGCTCATTAGGCTGATAGTTCAGTGGAGTTCACATTCATTTGTACCTGGTTTCTTAGGCACTGCTATGAAAATAGATCTGCTGAGATTTTCCGGTATATTACCACTGTTGTAGATTACTGGAGGTTAAAGTATTCAGAAAGCAGGAAGGAAACTTGATAAGGCTGAGAGGAATATACAAGTACCTTAGGTCATAATAGTCAGTCAAAAATGAAAAGGGTATCAACTGTTAGCATTCCTGGCACTCAATTTGAAAAAGTTCAAAGTTGTAACAAAAAAGAAAAGAATAAAAAGCAATTTTCAATGGGAAATTAACTATTGCCATTGAGCATGGTGTGAGGTGCAATCAGTTGAAACCAAGACACTAGGATTTGATGACATATGATCTGCTACCAAAATTGTTAAACTGAAAGATGGAATATGTAATTTAAGCAAGGAGCAAGTGTAGTGAAACAAATTTTAGCACAGTGCAAAGTCACACTCAGCAAACACACATAAAGACACAACCAAGTACTTTTCTCAGAGCAAAGAAAATTAACATTGATAGACACCAGATAGAAATGTAGAGGACTGCACTATGAGTTCTAAGTTGTGTTTCTTTAGTATGCATGGTCAGCCAAAGAACTATACAGATAAATCTCAAAAGAGCTGGAAAATTACCAGTCCAGATTACATATGATCAAAAAGTGACTAGATATAGTACTGCAATCAAACAAACTTCAGAAGGAGAGAGTAAATAAACCTTGAGAGTCAAACTTGGATCAGGTGTATGAGTGCAGAATAGGCTATTTATTTGGAAATCAGATAAAAATTAAACAAGCTATTCAAGCTTCAATGGGTGTGCTGTACTCAAAAGAAAGTAAATTTGAAGTCTAAAGACTGAATAAATTAGCAGGAAACATTTCCTTCTGTATCAGGAATAGGTGTTATGACCATGTATAACATGCACATTTACCTACCTTATAGATAGAATTCATCTTTTACATATTTTTCCTATAGATTTTCCCCATCCTTTTCTTTTCCCAATCAACTATTATATAAACAGCTGAACAACGTAATGATCATACAAAACAAATTTAGATGGTAATAGATAACATAAAGTTAGGGTGAGAAAATCTTCCTTTCTTACTCCTCTCATTCTGACAAGCACAGAAGTGTGCCTACATCTATGTGATGATATACAGTCAGCTGAACAAATTCCATTCATAAGTTTTGCATCATTCACTCTAGCAATAAGGTGCTATTAACCTTCTGAACACAGACTGGAACTGAGAGTTACAAAACCATAATAATATCAATAATTTGGTTCAGGAAAATAAAAACCATATGAATAGTGATCTTATATGCAACTTCTTCCAATGTCTGCATCAATATCAATTAGATATTTTTACAAATTTCATTTCAATCAACACAATAGAGTGTGCAACCATGTCAACAAAAGACTCCTAGATAAGGGGTTTATAGTACAAATCCAGACATCTTCATTGAAGAGTTTCTATCTTCCATTCTTCTTCAGTTTTTGTTTTTTTTTCTTTATCTCTTTTCCTTTTACTAGTTGTCTGTCTCTAACAATCTCTTGCTTTACACAGTTGTTTGCTCAATGGAGCTCTCTTGCTTTGCTGGCAAGATCTATACAGAAGTAATTAATTGGGGTGGGGGGAAGCTCTGGAAATGACTTGCTGCTTCTAGATGATTAACAACAACTAGTGAATAATATTACTTAAGCTTTCTGTGTATGCTTATATACATACAAAAATTCTCAAAGCCAAAACTACAAATGAATGTGTCAATTTTAGATTTTATGCTGATATAATTACAAACCTGTCAACAGAAAATCTAAAAGAAAACAGGAATTATATTTGCATTTATTATTAACTGAAATTGTTGAGTTTATTCTATATCCATCCAAAGAAAATAGAAACCAGTTAATTTTAATTTAACAGATACATTCAAGGATGTGAGCATTGTAGTCAAGTCACAAAAAAGTAAATTGCACAGTAAAATTCAGTAATGGTTTGTCAAATGAGTCTATTAAATGACTTATGATGTATTTTCATTAATAAGCTTTTCAATAAATATAGCTAAGATTGTTTTGGCTGACACAGGAAAGTTGACAGGTTTGATATGAACATTGGTTTCATAGATAAAATATATTTAAAAAAGAAAAAATATATATATGTGGAATTTGCTTTCTTGAAAAGAATTCAGACATTATAATGAAGCTGGCCTAAAAGCTGGCAGTAAATACTGAAAATTGTTTTTTTTTCGCAGATTGAGAAAGAAAAATTCATCACTCAACATACACCAAACAACAATAATATAATCAGAAGATAGAAAAGAAAAAAATAACAGAAAAAATGAAGAGCATTAGATATGTGAATATGTATAAATGAATAGCAGCATTAATACTGTCAGTTTCAGCAACTAAAGATGAGGCAATTCATATGCTTTTTGCATCCTAAAGAACCACATATGTCTACATATAATACTACTACATTACGGTACAGTACAGTTGAGCAATGCACATCTCACCAACCTGTTGTAGTCATCACCTTCATCATTGGAGCAACTGGAATGTAATAATGGATGATAGTCGACTAATCAAAGACAGTCAAAAAAAAAAAAAAACAAAACAAAAGGTTTCTGTTACAGATTTCACTTGAATAATAATTTTTAAAATTATAATTTCAGAAGTAACTTGATTTTCCCACCCCTCAAGATTGTCCGATAAGAATTTTAACATTTTAAAAATGTTTATCCATTTATATTTGTTTATTACAAAGGATTGAATATGCAGAGGAAAATATTCCAAATGGTTCTCAAAGCATCTGATATAAATTTATAAGAAAAGAATTTAACATGAATTATAAGTATCTGCCAAAAGAGAGAGATACCAATTAATGGGAAATAAAAAAAATAATTTCAAAAAATCTTAATTTCATTTAAAAATGATAGTCTTTTGTAAAAAGAACTTTTATAGTTTTTTGAATTATTTAACTAATATACAGAAGTTTGGCATCTATAATTGAATATTTATAAAATTGATAAATTCTTGACACTAACAGAATTCAACATATTAAATAACAATAGCACACAACTATATAAAACTGTAAAAATGATTTAGAGAAAGAATATTTTCAATTATCCATCACTTGAAGTGACAATTTAAGAATACCAGTTGAAAATAGAGATGTTTTCTTCAGATCCAGATAAAGAGAAAGTTTGGATGATTGATTTGAATCTCCAGCCATGAAAAGTAAATGAATGTTAAAACACTTTAAAATTTCTTTGATAAGTTATGAAATATTTAAATAATTTCATAAAATACAAAGAAAAAAATATTTTTAAAATAAAAAAATATTCAGAAAAAATTATGAAAGCACAGAATGAATTTTAAATTTCATTATGATCTCAAGAAACCAAATACAAATCCTTGATAAGCAAATATTCATAAAACAAGCTGAATAGATTAAGGACAAAATACTCTGAAAATTAAATAAAACAACTTGTAAAATTATCAGAGATGTATGTTCCTATATCAAATTCCATTTTGGTATTTCTTCCCAGTGGTATAACGAGTATATAATATTATAAAATAGTATATAGAAAAAAACATCAATACAAGGAGTGCAAATAAAAATAAAACATTTTTATTATCATTATTATAAACTTGTTTAAATGTGCAAAAAACAAAAGAAAAAAAAAAAGAAATTTAGCTTAAAAGAGAGTCTGAATTTGAGAGGTG